TTCTTCAAATTGCTGCCTGCTACACGAATGCTCAAATTCTGAACAGCATTTCTTGCAGCATTTCTGAACGTTGTCCAGACCTTGCGCGTGGGCAGCTGATTGACCTATAAGGTTATATTTTATCAATTGAACAACAGCAATTGAACTCAAGAAGTGTTATTCACCTTTAGATTCATGGTATTATCACAGTAGACGCAATGATAAGTCTTTGGTTTAGATCCACCAGTTGGCCAAAAAACGGCGGAGTATGTTTCACTCTGGGAGCGCTGTGGTTCTTCTTTATTAATCTAAATAATATATAAATCAGTTGTAAGTGACCTTTTGTACGATTCAGAATGATTTAAAACATAAATTTAGCAATACGATTTCCTGTTTAGTTTAAAATTAACCTCACCACTTTTGTTTTCTCATCACGCAGTATAAGATTACTCGAAAAACGCGATCTGAAAAACAAATTAATTTACTCATCAATTTTCAAAAACCTGAAATTTTATACCTATCATTGTTGACCGACGAGGATTCCTTTCGGTCGTGCCGATGACTTCTATCCCGCGGAGCGTCCACAGTCGATGATCCTTCATACATTAAACTCGGTGAATCTTCGAGCTCTTCAATTTCCTCCTGGACAGTTTCAGGACGAGAGTGGCGACTTTCACGGTGCCTATGGTGATGATGATGACGATGCCGGCGCGCGCTTGTATGTTTCTGCAACAAAAGGGGACGAAAGATAATTAAGGTAATTTTCGGGATGCACTTGACTGCATTACCTCATGCCTTCTGCGTTCAGATCCTGCTCCGCTTAGATTTGGAGGCGGAGTAAGGGCTCTGATGAGTGGAGTCAATATGCTGGGAATCTGCTGTCTGTAGTCCGATCTGTTCTGCGGATGACTCCTGCTTCTCGGCCTCGACGATGACGACGGCGGCGGCGGCGGTAACGCTTGAGGTCGACGACGGTGGTGGACACGTAAAGAGGTCTCAGAGAAGCACTAAGAGAATTATTTTAATGATATGTTTAATATGATAAGATCAAGACAAACGTCGAATCTCACTTCTTTTACTGACTCCGAATCCTCGCCTCCTCGAGTCATTAGCATTCTTCTTATGTGTGGCGGTGTTCCGACAGGCGACGAAAGTGATCTAATTGAAATAGAACAATATCGATCAATGATGTTCATCATATTAAGTAGATAGTTATCGTTTTACTTACGGTGTATCACCGGCGTGGCGATTCTTCAGCTTAAAATGCTGACGTACGACACCAACAGAAATCGTCGACTGCACTCGCGACCCCTTCAAGTCATTTATATTCACATTAGACAAAACACACTTAATTGAAAATAGAATTCCAAATTAATTCTATTCCAACCTTACCTTGATTCTAGAACAATCGCAAAATTCACAAAAATCTGCTGATGACGTCTTAGTGCTTTCCGAATGACATTCACAGAGACAATTCTTTGGATCTGAGGTGATCAAAATTGGTTCGATAGGTATAGGAGGCTTCCTTCTTCTAAAATTCAATTGAATTTAACAACTATTTGTTTATATTACTGTGATAGCTAATTATTTACCGATTCATATTACGAAACTTATCTTGATTCTTCACAGAATTTCTGGCACAATGAGCTAGAAATATTTACACATTTATATTCATTATTTAATAAAGCAAATCAAGAAAATACCTCTGTCAACTCGTCCAGGAGAGTTTCTGTAACAGCAATTCATATCAGAGTAAGAACCATATTTTATATGAGATGGTAATTTCTCTTGAGATGGTAAGTTTGATACAGATGGACTTGAAAATGCCGATTTCTCGTCTTCTTCCTCTGTATCATCTTCATCTTCCATAGGTAAATCATCAGATGGCGATCTCTTAATTTCAGGTAATCGAGAAGATGTATCTAGGTCATTGCCGGTACCAACACCTCTTTGATTCACCTTAGGTTTGAGTTCAGGTACAGATAATTCAACATCTGGTCCACAAGTCATGGTGTTATTAAAGCATGTATCGTAGATCTGTACTCTGCGTTGACTGACTTCATTTTCTTGATTATTCCTGAAAAAAATGGATCAGAAAATTAATTTTAACAAAAGGTAAAGTTTACAGATATATGATAGTATAGGTAAATCAAAACATACAACATGTCTCTTTGCAGGAGCATCTGTTGTCTTGCCTTGGCAACAATCTGGTTTTGCTGATATATATCTCTTTCCCAGATCATCTCACCATGATCGCCACGGATGACTTCATCTCTATTATGCAAATCCTGCTCCATATTCTGCTGCTGCGCTTTAAATCTAAAAAATAAGACACAAATTTTGAAATTATAAAACTATTGGCGATCAGTAATTCCACCTGAATTGCTGCTCTCTCTTGATCAACTGCTGTCTCCTAAATTGCTCTTGGTCCCACAACAATTGTTCTCTGTGATGCAACTGTTGTTCTAACAACATGTGTTCTCGTTGGTACAACAATTGTATCTCTCTTCCATGAAGTTCACGTTGCAGACGACACCTGTCCCTCAAGGCTGGTATAGCTACATCCAATGGGGGACATTTGTCTGTGCTGACATATGGATTAGTAACAATCCCTGGCTTGCAAATGGTATCTGAGAAAATAATTTGAAAATGTAATATAATTTGATTGCCTTTATAGATCTTTCCTCACCTTGGATAAATGGTTTGCAGACAACAGGATCTGGATGTGCAAAAGAAGCCACTGATGGTGGGCAAGGTTGAGGACATGGTGCACGAGGCTGACCTCTGGCAGCTTGATGTAATAGTGGTTGGCAGGTAGCAGTCTTTTGGCAAGAATCAGGATGATACTGGACAGGTTGTTTGCAGGAATTTCGACTCTCTGAAAATGTTATAAAACTGATTCATTAAATTAAAATTATTTAAGCTAAAATTTTACCTTTGACAGAAACTGCTTGTGGAGACTCTATAACAACTCTAGTTTGTTGCACAGGAGGATGTTCATTCTTGTAAAAGTTATGTTCACTATTCATTGAGTTTGTGCAACATGGATTAGAAAGTGATGATGGAAATGGTGCTGTCAATTGCTGATGTTGAAGAGTTGATGGAGTGGGTGGTTTTTGTTGGCCAGAAGCAATGTGTTGCCTTGGACAAGAGACTGAAAGGCGACTTTGTTGTGGACATTCTACTGCAGAAGATTTGGGAATTGGTTGGACTCTGTGTACGGAAGGCTAGAAAATAGATAAAGAATTAAATGCACATCAATCAATAATACCATTTCAATATTGTATCACCTGGATATGAGAGTAAGAACTGCCTCCTAAAGTTCTCGAGAGTGAATATTTCAAACTATTATTTGAACTTATTTGAGGTTTTGAGTATTCTGAATGCTTTCTGTGTGATGATCCATAGTCACAACTTGAAGACACTGTTTATAAAAAAACAAACTAAATATTCCAAACTAAAATAAATCAATGTGGTAGATTCAGAAACATTTTATGACAACATTTATATAAGTGCAATTGTACTTATATAAATGTTGTCATAAAATGTTTCTGAACCTATCACATTCCACTACAATATTTCTGGTTCAGTATTAACCTTTTGGTAGAAAAAAAACATCTGATCCTGCACAACTTCTATTGGTGCAACCCCGGCGATGAGCAGATGTTGTAAAGCAATCCATAAAAGTTGGTCCCTTAGTCTTTTCTGTCTTGATGATACACAAGCATCGGCTATTTAAAAATAAACAACATCACAGTATTCACACATCATGCCCAACAATATACAGTAACTACTTACTCGTCCTTAGTGTAACACCAAAGACAGAATGCAATGCCCATCATTATAATTTGCAAGGTTGATAAACCAAGCCCAATCGATATCAAAATGGTTTTATGATTTTCCATCAAGTCATCCAAAGCATCTAAACAAGGCTGAAATAAAATATCATCAAAATTATATTAATTGGTTAATTTCCGATTAATTACTAACTCGATCGACGTTTGTGTCGACAGTTTCATGAGCCATAGTGCAATTGTGTCCAGTTTTACAGCAAGCTTCTGGTAACCAGGATTGATCGTAGAAACCTGGATCATGGGACTGCACTTCCTCTGATTTTTCCTTGAAGTCTGTATAGTTTTCACCGCCGCAACATTGATAATCTATGAGGAAGAAGTTATATTTGTGATAAAAAATAAAAAACACCTAAGATTAAATTGATCTAAGGTGATATGTATGCTGGTTATATTGCCTGAAACTGACACAGCGCTTTCTCATACATTTCTACTTAGGCTTGGTAAGGATTACTTCAATATTTTTTATTGAATTTCATTAATTTGTAATGCATTCATGTTAATATATGATCTATCATCAACTCACATTCCATAAGATGGTCGAGTGGATGAATGACTTGTGGAACCGTTTTATTGAGTTTATGATCTCTCAGATATCTATAATCATCAGTAACCGTTTTCATCACTTCAGGCAATTTATTTTCCTGAAAAAGAAAATTTTACTAGAAAAAAATGGAGATACAATAAGAAACTGATCACTTACACTACTTAAGCCCAAGAGCAGAATTACCACACCAAGAAACTGCAAGGCCATCACAATGAGAAATACAGTGACAAACTATAAATAAATAGAATAATATTAGAAGGTAATAAAATGTTCATTCTTCTTAAATTGATTTGAATCAAGTAAAATGTGACTTGATCATTTATTTTAAGTTTTTCTTTTTTTTTCGCTTACCAATTTAAAAACCTTCATGCATTCCTTGATAGCAGCAAAATAGCCGAAAATGCACCAAAAAAACAAAAATAATGCTAAGCCAAGAAAAATATATGCCATATCTTCGATAAAATAAGGATTTGTAACGCTCTGAAATATAAATAAAATCAACATTAATTACATAAAAATACTCAATTGATTGAGCCATTTTTAAAATATTTACTCTAGCGCCATTTATATCCACATTTTTTACTTGATTCAAAAAACGAAGAAATTCTGCACCTTCGATCACTATCCAAATGCAAAGCACAACCATAAAACAGGCTATAAGCTGAAATTATATATATATATATATATATATATATATATATATATATAAATATGAATTATAATGATATTGTAAAATATACAGACAATATACTGTTAAAAATATATATCAATTATAACTAGACAATTTACAACACTTTCAGACAATTCACAATAACCCCATAGGTAAAAGTAAATTGCAATTTACTTTCCAGGATCAATATTAATTTAACGTTTCATATTTAACTGAACTTTTTAATTAAACAATAAATATTAATGTCATTGTGAATTGTTTATAAATGTTTAATTTTTTTATTTAATTATTAAAATGCCATTTTATTACCTGAAAAAAGTATATGAAGAACACAAACACTACATACATTATGAAAAATTAAACATCCCTATTATTAATAACATTTAAATATTATTTAAAGTTGACATTCAACTTGCCATTATTTTGTTTTTAAAACTACACTAAATATTCTCCATACATGTTTTTCATTTATTGATAATTGTATGTTTTAAGTCATTCTAAATCGATTGATACCGAAATTGGTAAAAGTTTGTGTAGATAAATTTGCCATTCCTAAACAATTTCTTAAAAAATGGCTGAACCGATTTCAAAAATCTAAAAACCATTTGTTGAATAGCAAGGATGCAACTATTATTTTTGCAGAAAAATGTAAAATATTTGGTAAAAATTGCTGTAGATTATCTGAAAATGCTGTAATTTATTTGAAAATATTCTAGATTGTATAAAAATGTTAAAATTGTTGTAAATTGTCTGAAAGTGTTGTAATTTATCTGAAAATTTTGTAGATTGCCTGAAAATGCTAAAAATTATCTGAAATTGTTGTAAACTGTTTTAAATTGTGTGAAAAAGTTGTAAATTGTCTGAAATTATTATAGATTTGAAAATATTGTAAACTGCCTGAAAAATACCAATTGCAATCATTATTATATATAAAACAAATAATTTTTACAGAATCTCATTCATTACATTCATAATATCATTCACAAACAGTAGCGCAGTACCTACATTTCTTATCTTCTTGAAAATTTGTTCAATTTCCAGTACTTTCATATGCAACTTCTAAATCTTCCTCTCTACAAAAATATTCATGGATTAATATTATTGATATTGAAGTTATGCACTCGTACAGAAAAAATCTAATTTAATTTATATATGTAAAAACATGATTTCTTTAATAACTTACAACACTATTGAGCAAATGCTGTCCCAAGTTTTAGAGCTTTTGGTAGAATTATTATCAAATGTTTCACCAGAACTAGCTGGATACAAAGTAGTCCCTGAATCTTCTGGTGAACTCAAAAGATATTTTGGAGGCACCTGAAGATTTTCACCTGCTCTCAGACGAACTAAAAGCTCAAACACTGCCCCTTAAAATAGAAAAAAAAAAAAAATTTGTTGAAACAATGATAATGAGATGATTAACATCAGGAGGAAAGGAAGCAAATGCTAATTCATTAATTTTATGTTTTCAAAATCATCCTGAATTGTTTGACATAAGCTTTGAAAAAAGTATGTGGGCAAAAATTTGTTTTTAAAAGATAGCTCATGGAAATCTCAATTCTTATTGATTATGTTAATAGTCTACAACACTACATGCATCAGGAAGTTGATCATGCATCAGGAAGTTAATTTTCAAAGTCAAATTTATTTGTGGCAAAAGACATACACAAGAATCTCATTTATTGCTACATCAAGTGTACCTCTGTCATGAAAAAATCCACATCCACGATCCCAGATCCACTGTGGAAAATCACTATCTATTTTTTCTATGAAATTTTCTTCTTCCTTAATATTGACTTGCTTGTGATCTCTCCTGGCTGCTTCTTGCCAACCAGTACCTTTTTGTGACATTCGACACACAAATAACTTTTTAGGTTCATTTTCAGGCTTTTTTGAATTCGTTTCAGGATTTAAACCCTCCAGGTCAGTTTCCAACCTAGAATATTTAATTAATGGGTTGTAAGTAAAATTTTGCCTTAAGACAAGTTGTAAATAATAAAACTAATTATGATATTGGAAAAACAATTAATATATGGTCCTTACATTTGTTTCTGTATTTCCATCAGCTGCTTCATCTGTTGCCTTAGTATTGAATCCTGATGCTGGTTATCACGCAAATCGTGGATCCTTTCTCGAATCAAATCCATCTGAAGTTGGCGATTATCCATGTCCAGCTGGGTGTTCAGCTGATGAGCTTTGAATCTAAATTAGAAAAAGAACTGGTTGTGAGACGGTGTAAATAATCAACCTAATCAATAAGAATTGATACTTAGCTATTCAGATAAAAAAATTCAACTGATTTCTGTCTTAAAATTCTTAATATTTTTAAAATTAAAGCACTTATGATATTTATAAAAGGCTTATAATAATAATATTAAAGGCTTATTTTATTTTAGAATAAACATCATAATCTTTTCCATCCATAAATCAAATCTCTTTCCATCTTTAATTAATAAAATTTACCTGAATTGTTTATCCTGTTTCATAAGCTGCGTCCTCCTAATCTGTTCCTGATCCCACAACAGCTGATCACGTGCATGCAGCTGCTGCTCTAGCAGCATCTGCAAACGAGCACATCTGATCTGATTTTCTTTCTCTCGAACTGCACAATCTGCTGCAGCTAAATTGACATTGGCACAAGTGTAGTCTGGTGGACAACTATTATTGACTTGAGGAGCTGGAATGGCTATAAGGGTAAATAATAAAGAAAACTTTTGTGAGATTATAATCATGACCTACATTGTGTTGTATTTGTGCAAAGCGAAGAAGCAATGGGCTTGATTTCAATTAAATCAATTTCTGGTTCGGCTAATAAGAATATTAGGTTTAATTAATTGGATAAATTAATTCAAGTGGAAATTAATGAATACTTACATTCGCACTCATAACCACCACACAAGTTCTTCAAGCGACTGCAACAACTGGATAAGCTATAGTATTATTTTTTATAAATTTCATAATTATATAGTTGCAATTCCATTTCCATTTACTAAAGCAAGTATTATTAACTTCCCAAATGTGTAAATAATTCAATTGGCTTAATCAATAAAATTTCAGATTTAGTAACTTTTAAATTGTGATGATATAAGTTTTGTTTTAAAAAAATCAATTAATGTCTTGTACTTATTGTACATGATATTATTTAATATAATATAATAAAAGTATTAATTTATTTGTATACTTACCGTCTGCCTCGCAATTTTGCCCACAGCAAAAAAATTATTAGCAACAAAGGTAAAATGATTCCAAAAATTAGAAGCATTAGTTCGTGAAAATGCAGAACATTCAAAACCTCATCAATACAGCCCTGGAATAAACAATATAAAATTCACATAATAAATTCAGAAATTTATCAAAATGAAACATCTTAAAACTTCTGTTGTATAATTTTTGTATCACCTTCTCGAAATTAGAATTATTTGCATTGTGTCCAGTCTCTGTACAGTTTGATCCTGATTTACAACACACTTCTGGTATTTGAGAATTGTCAACAGTTTCTTGAGCATCGTCTCTTTTATTTAATGAATCTAGATTGCACATAAAGCTATTAACAAAAGATGAAACACCAAAAATAGTTGCAATTCTATTACTGTAATATTAATCATGTAAAATTTACCAATAGTTTTTTCTCCTGCTATTATTGTTAGTTCAGCCTTTCTGAAGAAAAGTGTGTTACCCACAGCCAAGTCTTGATAATTGGCTGCACCACAGCACCCAAATTCTATAAATGTAAAATATAGTCTAGAGTAACAACTAAATTATCACCGTTCAATAATGAACATTCATTTTAAAGATCAAGCTGAATTCATTTAGAGTTGTATATCCATGAATCCATTTATGATATGTCTATGCTGTATTAATGCAAATATTGTTAATCAGTTTTGGCCTTAACAATCACCTTTCATTACCCCATCATACGCTTCACCAATATCTTCACTTGTATAATTTTCAGAAGCCGATTTAAAAAAGTCTTCAGCATTTTCACGGTTATGTGATCTCTAAATAAAAGTATATATATATATATATATATATATATATATATATATATATATTATAATACCTCTTTTATAATATTCATCAAAACCAAGATTCCTGCAGCTAATTGTAACGCCAGCGAGGTGACAATAAGAAATCCAAACTAAAAAGATTTTCACTAAAAAATATTCTCATGCTAACAATTTATAAATACTCGTATATATTGTAATAATGTATAGTATAATAAATTTGTTTATATTATATAAAGCACAAACCAAATTAAATTTCTTGCATTTTCTGTAGACGTAGTAAACGCAGTAACTCAAAAACAGCATTAACGCTCCTGCACCCGTTATGAAATAACAAGCAGTCTGTATTACTTTAGGCCTCTTGTACACCTTTTTAAAAATCAGCAATTAGTTTCATTCGAACTTTCCTTAAATTTATCATTATATTATATTAAGAACTAGAAAACATTTACTGAATAAAAATGAAATCATATCTACATGTCTTAAGCAAAAACAGTAATTTTTGGTACTTAAGTAGTGCAAAGTATAATTTATATAAATTTCTTTTTCAAACTTACATTTCTTCATGTTTTTTATGTGTTAACAAATCAGATATTTTTAAAGTACTTTACTTCTTTCTTATTTCAAATTTTCTACGAAACCTTTTCTATTAACTAAAAATTGTTCTCAATATAATATTTACATAATCCTCTCCGCCTCCCATAACATTAATCAAATTCATTAGACTGATTTTGGCCAAAATCATGTACAATCCAAGTCCGAGTAATATCAAACCAAAAATCTAAAAGCAGAGGAAGAATCAAATATAATATAATATAACAGAAGCAATAAAGCTAATTGTTTTATACTTAACAACAAGCTAAACAAACCTAAATTGTAAGAGGATTATATAGAAACAAAAACTCTGTTGGTTTTTAAGCCACATTATTAATGGCATTTCATACATATTGTTGAATTATCTGGTAGATCTATCTGTATACAAAACCTAACCTCAAATTATAATAAGGCGTATTTATATTATTTATAGTATGATTCCTAAAAAGGCAGTACAAAACTGATTAAGCAATATATGAACTACATAATTTGTATATAAATATCTAAAATTGTCCTTGAAAAATCCTTTAATTTTGCTCAACGAGGAACGAAATGACAGTTGTACAATCGTCATGCATATATAATTATATCTAAAGGATTTCTGTAATCCTCACGATATTATAAATCATGGTTATAAATATTTTATATATTATTATCCAAACTCATGCTTTAATCCTCGACGATCCTTCTTATTAGATATTTTTAACGAAGCACGTCACAATTTCGATCTTTAAATATGTAACGCCATTTTTGTAAAAATAGTGTTGCCATATATAACTCTTTCAACTTGAATAAAGGATAAAAGGATATTTTATAAAATTCTTTAATATAAACATAAAATCGATTAAACATATCTTCGTATTATTATATTCATATTATATTAATATTATATATTTAAATATCGGTTAAAATTAAAATAATTTAATCAGTATGTTTTATAACGAATGACAGTCGAAGGTCAGCAACTCCATTCTAATCATAGGTAAAAGAAGAGTCATAACGATTTTTAATAATTTTAATAATAGTTTCTAATAATAAAATATATTGCATTTTTTAATAATTAAAAGATACTTTTTCTGATTTATACATTTGTACAAAATATTATTTAGCTTTAAAATAATATGCAACATTATTTTGCATTTGATTTTAAAGGTTGGCGATACTGAAAAAAATGGCCGTTTGTTTAAACATGTCAGTTGCAAATAATCGTGAAATATACTTACAAAATACAGAATGCTAAAACAGCACGGAAAAGGACGCCTAAAATGGTATAAATTAGTGTTAATTACACATTATTATATTATATATACGTATATTAACTTATATTATATATATTTATTTAATTCATGTACTCACATTTAATGGCTATTTCCAAAAATTTAACTGAAATGTTCCAATTGCAAATTTCTCATTCATCTGATGTCAAATTCTTTGTAAAAAATTAATAGGAACCTCATTATAAATGTCTTTGTACAAAATAATATTCGATTTTTAACAATATTATCAACATTTCAAAACAATACTATGACAAGTGTCAAACAAAAGAATTAATCAAATTCGTTAAACATTTACAAATGTAAGTACATTCAAATTTATTATGAGACAATGATTAGTACAGTTAGCACTGCAGATTATGTCTCAAATTATACAAAAAAATTCGTCAACATTAAGATTAAGAAATAATTTGATCAATATTTTTAGTCAATCATTATCGTTCCAAGAGGCAGTATTTTGTGAGGCTTGAAAAGGTTGGAATATATTAACAAAATAAAGAAACTCAAAAGAAAATAAAGCAAACTAATTGAACAAACAAATACATTTATTGTTCATAAGTAAAGATTTCATAGAAGAACATGTTTAAAATAGATAGTTGAAAACAAGAGTCTAATGTAATACAGAGAAGTAGAAACTGGTGCCTTTTGAATAACTTGTACTAGTTTTGGCACAAAGATTAAAAATATAAAATAAATTGGAAGCCAATTTATCGCTATTCTATTTTTTGTTTAACTATAAGGTTTATTAATAGTACCCTCCACCCCATTTAGTAAACAGAATTCAGGGATGATCGAATTGCACTTGAAAACACAAAAAGATATTTTGCAGTGAATGGACATCCCTCGATATTAGCAGTCAACAACTGAGAATTAATGTCTTTTGTTCAAATTGTTATTCGTTGGCTAATAATATCTCATATTATACATCTAACTTAAATTTATATTAATTAAACTATTTTACATCAATTTTAGATGAACTCGGAATAATTTTGATATTTAAAGCAATGACTAAGGGTATTAATACATAAACACACACACAATTATGAATATATGTGTGTTTGTATATAAAATAATAAAAATATCACTAATAATTTAAGTCTAAATTGGTTAAACACCAAAATTATGGAATTGCATGATTTTAATTAAATTTAATATATTTAGGAAAATTTAATTTAAGAAAACAAATTCAAAAGACTAGAAGAAAATATTATACTAAAAGAAGTTTTTAAAAACAGATATAGAAGTAGTACGAAAGACAAAAGTTAATAATCTAATTGTAAAAAGATGGCAGTATTATAATAACCAATATACATTTAAATATATATATATATATATATATATATATATATTATAATGTTGGACGGACCTTGAAGCTATTCAATAGCCTTTTACACATATAAGCACATAAAAAATATCACCATGTTCTTATAGAGCAACAAATTCATGCTCATAAGTTTTAGGGCACCCTATATAATTCTTGATTAATTATAAAAAAATTCACATGCTCAAGAATTAGAAATTTCGATACTGTTGAAGATGTACTTTTTATAACAAAGACTATATGTATATAAAACCATCATATGGCCGTAAAGTGATTTATCGATTCATCCTTCTTTCAATCAACCATTTCATTCATCCTGTAATCAATTGCAAAATTAAAGTTACATCTATCCATCTAGCTGCTGTGTGAATAAGCAGTGTTTGTGTAAGGTCCACTGTAAACAGATGATGAAGATGTCCCACTGTTCTTTCCTCGTGTTCTTCGTCTTGCCAGAAGAACTAAGATAGCTGCCAGAACTGCTAACATTAGCAATAGACCAGCCACAGCAACACCCACGGCAAAGGCTCGCTGTGGGACGCATAGAGCATCTTCTGGAGACTATAAAAATAGGTTTTGTTTAAAATTGTACAAATATTAATTTTAACTGCTAGTTTTAATTACTTTTTCTCTATATACATCATCTTCTAGAGATCCTGCTAAATCTGCACCTTCGTTTACATAAAGTCCACTGTAAACTTGAATAGTGGCAGGAGCCCCATCTTCGATGTCATCAGGGTTTTGCTGTTGCTTGCTGGCTGTTATGGGACCCTCTGCCTTGTCATCTTCTGTTGATGATGCTCTTCTCACCCTTTGAAGGTCGTCACATGTTGGAAGCTGATGAAGACATATAAAAGATTGATTGTGGACCATTTAGGTAAGTGGTAGTATGTAAGGTTTTACCTGACATCCATTATTTTCCCTGAGGCAAAGTCTTGCATTGCATTGATAATAGACAGAGGCAGTGTAAGGAAATTTGTGTGCTGCAAATTTAGCCTCAGCTCTTGATTGTCCTGCGCTGTATTGAAAAGTGCCCATAATATCATCATCTGTTGAACAACTAAAAAAAAACAAAAATTTACCATTGAAATTGACACTTTCATGATTATATTATGTATAATAATACATGCATCCTTTATTACCCTTCTGAGTCGATCAATTTCTGTTCAGCCCATCCCAATCCATCTCGAACAGAACAATCAGTAATTTTGAATCCGTACAAATCTTGTTTGTCCAATTCCACAACCAACGTCAGCATGTCACCTATTTTAACATTCTGCGCGACCTGTATTATAAAATATCATTAAAATATTTGAAATTACCCATAAAACATGATGTTAAGTAGGTAGAAGATTTTGGTGTACCTCTTTTTTGGCTGGGTCTCCTGCAAAAACCTGCATGGTGCACGCTGGCATTGGAAGTTCTGGTGAATGGGGCACCACACTGCAAAAAAATTAGATAAAGATGAGAAAATTCTTGAACAATATTTCTCATATATCAATTATAACTCACTTGACTTGGTGGTGTCCCAAAGACCGTCCCTGCTGCGATCTGCTGTAACCAGGCTGCTGCTCCTTGCTGTCTTTACCAGAATTGGAGTCATCTCGTGCAGGGTTGGGCAGAACTGACATTCGTTCACGGGACCTGTACCGACAACGGACATGGTAAGCCTTGCCCAGTCCTGTCACAAGTTTCAGATGAGGTTGGACAACTATCGTGTTGAAGTACTCTACTGCGCCATCATCCTGGGAGAAAGATAGATTAAATTAGTATGGATTTGTATAAGTATAGCACTGAAGGCTTGGGAAAAACTATTGCAATGTAAGTGAAATTTTACCTTAATCAGGAAGAGTTGAGGTTTATCTAATTTAACTTACCAAAGGAGAAGTTTGTTTTCGCCAGAAAACCGATTGGCTAATTTTCAACGACGTTTCAAGTAATTCTGAACCGAATGAGACCAAATTTGTAAAAGTATTGTGTGTGTATGTGAGCCTATTTTTGACCTTTATCGCCGTTTGATGTAACTCGATAAGGACTAGGGTTTCTCAGTTTTGCACGTAAATCTGCCAACCCATTTCTTTGTAATCAGCAGAAAAGTGTAAAATTTGTGCAAAAAATCTTTAGAATATGTTTGTAGAAATCTCGAACAAAGAAATCTAACATGTATTTATAAATTGAGTGATTTCAAATTCGGCACATCAGACATAATACGTATTTGGCGATGCCCTAATTTGGTCACAGTCACCATTTACGATTCGGCATTAAAATTAATTGCGAAATTGTTCTCATCTACGTCTGTCAACTTTTTTGTCTTTTGAAATATTATGGCAAACACATTTATTTATATATATATATAATATATATATATAATATATATATTATATATTCATATGATATAAATGAGCTTACGTCATTCTGCAAAAGGTGTACTTTCATGCCTACGCAAGCCGAACGATGTCTTTGAAATATCACCCACATATCTATTTGAAAGTATAGATTAAAAAACAAAAAAAAGTGTCCATTGACCTGGTAACTTTGTCCTTTGTCCAGGCTTCTTGACATGATGAAATTGTCAACAGTTTAGTTAAAAAATAAAGATTTCATTCATCATTAAAATTAATCTACACGATTTCCAGTGGATATTATAGGAGCCACTATTCTGATACATGACATGGGTTTTGACGTTTAAAAAGCACCTACGCTCTGAAGTTGGCTCCGGGATAGGCATAACTCTTCTTTTATGTATGGCATAACCTGTCATTTCGTGGAATATTTAGTCCCGCGTTCTTTTCTCATTTTTGTGATGGTATAGCGTCGCGTCGGTTTCGTTTCAAGTAAGCGTTTTATTATTTTTCTGCTTTTTCTTTTCGTGTAATTAGAATTCTTTCGTTCTGTTGCTATTTCTAATTCTGTTTATAACAGTTTTTTTCACATATTTCGGTTCGGTTTTCGTTTTTTTGCTCTGGATCGCTTTCCTTGCGTTGCTTTTTTGCTCTATTAGTAAGCTTCTTATTATAATTCATGCTTATTTTTTATATTTCATAGTTACAATAAGTGTTTTTTAGGATTTTTTACTTAGATTGCGTAAGTTTCTCTTTAGTTTAGTTACGTGTTTTTTTAGATTTTTACTTAGCTTGCGTAAGTTTATTTTTCGTTTCATATTTTTACTATTTAGATACTTACTTTTATTTCACTTTAGGTCACATTCTATTTTATAAGCTTATTTTTAGATTTTGCTCATTTACATTAGGTTACATTCTATTTTATAAGCTTATTTTTAGATTTTACTCATTATACATTTACTTTTTAGCTTCTAATTTTCTTTACGTTTTATTACCTTCATTACTTTTATTTTATATTTCACTTATCACTTTACTTATGTAGCAACATGGACAGCGACTTTTTCTGTACCGAGTGTCAGATTCCATTCACAGCTCGTAGCTCCTTGTATCGCCACATAAGACAAAACATGACAAAGAGCCAAGAGCTGTTTATCCCAATGCGTGTGCTTTCTGCCTTAAAACTTTAAATTTAAATATTTATTAACTCGTCATGTGAGCCAAGTTCATAATAATATCCCTAACCCTTCACCTGCCCAATCTTCTTCGGTATCTTTTGAAGACATTACACACCTTTCCTCCTCCACTAAAACAAATATAAAGCATCCTTCTTTACCCACCTCATATACTACTACATGTTTGACATCACCTTACAATTTACTTTCACCCACATCAGATCCTCTTCACAAACATCCCCGTAAGTTTATTGCCGCATCCTTGCACTTCCTCTATTCAAGTTCAAATTCACACGCCTCCCATTCCCTGTTCCCCAATCAGTACTAAGGAAAATTTTACAGGTATGTAGTGCTTTTATATATGTACATTCATTTATTTATTATTGTGTTACATATAAATCATTTTTGTAGGTACACCATCAAGGAAATCCAGAATAAGATGTCCACTCCCTCCCTGCTCCTCTGTTTTTTCTAGGTACACAGGTTTATACGATCATATTGAGTTTATCACAAAACTACAATTGATTATGAACAGTTTGTGTTTCAAAATTAAAGGTTTGAAGTCTTCTCTCTCATAATTTATAACCCCAATTACACAATTACCTACATTTTTGACTTTGTAGATTTTGAATTGTGGAAACGGACATAGAGCGGAAAGAGTTTTCGCATTATGTAAAATGCAATTCAGGATATAAATCAAAAACTGATGACAAGACAATTTATTTCGATTGCCACAGGTCATATACAAATGACCAAAAACCCACTGTACGCTTGTTTACTAAAACGAGCAACAAAACCGGATATGCTTGCCCATCAAGGATTGGTTGTACTATTAATCACAATGGAACATTTCATGTTGAATTTTGGAAGACACATGTGGGACACAGTCAAGATATAAAATTTATTTCGTTAGATAAGAACCTGAAAGAACATATCAAGGGTAAATTTTTAATTGACTTGTATGATTATAAACTAAATACATTTTTGTTTATTAATAACTTCTACAAAAAATACGGTTTTTCGGTTGGTGGAGTATATAACAAGGTTTCTGTCCATACTTCCATTTAATTTTAAATTCAGTTTCATTTATTGTTCGGTTTGAACTTTGGTTTGGCTAATCATTTCTTCAAAATGCAATTTTTTTCTCTTTTTTATGTTTAATTTCAATGTTTATATTTATTCTATATTAGTTATATTATTCTATATATTATATTTATTCTATATTATTATTACATGTTTCCTGTGACATGCTTTATATTGTAAATAGTATGTGTATAATTTTGAATAAATATTGATGAATAAAATAGATGGTTTTAATTGTGTTCCTTATTACCTATGTTAATCATTGTTAGAAAAAGTAAATCAGATCACTTAAAGATAAAAATAGGCAAAAATATCGGACTGAACTTAAGTTTATTACATTACTATACATATGCTAGCATTTATTATATATATATATATATAATATATTATATATATACATGCATACTATGAGTTAAGTTCTAATAATCAGATGTTACATGCTACAAGACTCTTGTAGCTATTTTGATGTCAGGCTGAAGTCCTAATCTAATTCAGTGAACCCTACAATAGAATTAAA